TTAATTCATGTCTGGGGTGCGGCAGCGCTGGGTAGTATGAGTTTTACCATACTAGTCAGATGGCATGCAATTTAAAACTTACAAATTGTTTATTTCTGGAATTTTCCTTGTAATATTTTCAGACTGTGATTGACTGTAGCCAGGGAAAGGAAAATTGCGGTTAAGGGGGGATTTAACTGTAAGTTCTAATAACAGTTGCTGTGAGGAAAATGAACAGAGTACAGTGATTAAAAAATAACAGAAGTTAGAGATGAAGAATGCACTTAGAAAGGACAAACAGGGAGGCCTCTCTGAGGAGGTGACATTTAAATTAATACCTGTAGGGTGTGGAATGAGAGAAGAGATTGGTTTCTTTTAAAGAAACAAGTGTCCTGGGTCACTAAAACAAAGTGAAGGGAAGAGCCCCACAGTGGGATTGGAGAGACAGCTGAGGACTAGATGATGAGGACACAGAAGAGCTCTGGTTTTAAGTCTTGGCAGAGCCACTGGCCCTGTGCCACCTAGGACAGTCCTTCCTTACGTCTCCAATGGCTCACCCGGCTACTCCCTTGAGCTTTCTGTACCAGCACCACCTCCCAACCACTCTTCCCAGGTTATCTCCCCTTTCTATCCCTGCCTTCATTTTCTGTCTCTCATCTGCTTTATCTTCCTTAATAGCAGATGTTATTCCTAACATTGTGTGTGTGGGTTTAAGGGTCTGAGCTACCCCCTAGGAATGTTTTGAGAGTCCTAGGACTTGGACATATTTCATACTGTGGCCCATTTCTACCACAGTGCCTAGTACCGTTGGCACTCGGTAAATATTATTGAAATGAATGATTGAATGCTTTTAAGCAAGGGATGGACATAATCCAGATTGTATTTGTTAAGGATTTTGGCTGCCAGGCAGAGAAGAATCTTGTAGGTGAGCAAGAGAAGAAGCCAGGAGTTCTCTAAGGAAAGAAAACAATAGGCTATGGTGGTGGTAGAGGAGAGAGAGAAAAGGATAGTGCTTTCAGGTGGTATATATTTTGAAAGTAGAAGCAAGACTTATTGATTAGATAGGTGTGGTGACTCAAGAAGACTCATGGATGACTTTCAGATTTCTGTTAAAAATAATACTTCACTGAGTTGGAAAAGATAAGGAAAATCTGGAGTTGCATTTTATTTATTTATTTTTTTTGGAGTTGCATTTTAGAAAAGGTAAATTTGGCTCGGCGCCTATAGCTCAACCGGCTAAGG